AAGTTGGTAACATTCATTCTGGCTTCTGGAGTGTCATTTCTAGAATTACATGATGACAATGACTTATTTCTGCTAGGTGTTCTTCTCCAATAAGTGCTTTCAGCACTGCGGCGTGATGTTGACCATCTAACACTATCATCTGTCACCGGTGTTCTACTTCTATAAGAATGTTCAGAAATTGATGGTGTGGGCGTTCTACTACCACTTGCATTGCCTTTGGAAGATAAACAACATAAAGCTTTAATAACTTGATCTTTAGGATGCGTATCCAAATGAGTCTCTAACGACATCCCATTGTGAAGATAAAGTGTACAAACTGGACACTGAACTTTCTCATCCATCTTGTCCTCCATCATAATAAATATTTGTGTATTAGGTCACGCTCAGGATACCCCTGGCGATACGTGAAATGCTATTTCGTCCAACGATCGCTTGCGTACGAGCACCAAACCGCAAGGTGCCAGTCACATATATGTTTACAGTAAATATGCAAGGCGAGTGGCCCACAACACATATCTTCGCTTCAATTGTATTGATCTGTTAACAAAAAAACATGCTATATTTTACAATTGATACACTGAATCGTATATAAGCGACCTGAAAACTAGTTACACTCACATTCAAAGGACAAAAGAACACAAAAATGTGAGATAAAGGCCATTGAAACATAAAAAATGAAAACCAGAAATTAAGCAATAACTGTATTTTACGTAAGCGATATGAGATAGTAATGCTCACCAAGAAATTATATTTATCAAGTCTATTCCATAACACATAATTTAACAATACATAGTCTCCATGTTTTTACATCTACACGTACTCTAAAAATATTTCCAAATAGTCCGACATATTGCGATATTTCAATTCTTAATCAAAAGCAATACCAAAATTTAAAGACTAAGGTCAGAGATACTATTGGACTATACTATACTCTATACAGAATTTTCTCTATGAACAAATGCCACAGACATAAAAGTTATCATATAAACCTGAAGAGTAAGTTAAGTCCAGTACCCCTCTTTGAAAGCTTAATTGCTGTTGCTGGGACATGGATGTCAATGGATGGATGGATGAATGACATGGAAACATTTCATAGATCTTTTGGTTGTTTCTCCGATCGTTGATTATTTTCCAGTCTTTGTTTTTTTAGTGTAAAATATTTAGTAGTACATCTGTCTGCTTAATTCATGTGTTTCCGAGATTTTGATGGTTGAGGAGTCTGTATTGATAAGCTCGAAGAATGGGGACTGGATACAGACGAACCAGCTACAGGCATTTCATTTCTCAGTGAATCTTCCTCGGCAGATGTGAAATCGGGAACATTGTTTGAAGTTTCCTCAATCTGGAATTGAGATTCATGAGATTGGGATTCATGTTCAGAACATTGTTCATCTTCTTGTACTGGTATATTACCCTCTTCTTGTCGGTTTTTTGTAAAAGGGCTTAGAAATTTCAAATATTATGGCGCTAAATAGTACTCCTTTTTCGACCCAGCAGCGGACCCACTTTTAGATTTTGTATTCAGAGATCGTATGTAGGCTGAACGTATGGGTTTCCATTTGGACTTACAATCATCACCTGCAAAAATCAGTATTATCAATTAAACTAATCAATCAAATTACACGAATTGTTTCAGGTACTTGGCAACTGGATCCTCATTTCGAGCAATGTCTTACGTATTTAAAAGAGGTGAAACAACTATTGGAAAAATTATCGATGACACTTGTGATGTTATATGGACAGTTTTACAGCGAATGTACATGAAAATGCCCACAACAAATGATTGGCTAGATATTTCAAAAGGATTTCTCGAAAGATGGCATTTACCTCTTTGATTCGGAGCCATTGACGGAAAACATGTTAGAATGAAGAAGCCTTATAACCTCTGGATCTTCATACTTTAAAGTTTAATTATAAAGAATATTTTTCTATTAACCTTATGGCGTGTGCAGATGGAAACGGATTATTTACGAGTATCGATGTGGGTGATTATGGGAGGAATAATGATTCAGGAGTATTTCAAAATCGGGATTAGGCCGAGCATTAAATAATAATATTTTAAATATACCTACGCCACGGCCCTTGCCAGGTGAAGAAGAATTTGGACGGTCATTTCCTTATTACTTTGCAGCTGACGAAGCATTTCCCCTGTCCACTAATATAATGCGACCGTACAATAGTAGATTTTTAAACAATGATCGCCGAATATTTAACTATCGACTATCCCGTGTACGAAATATTGTCGAGTGCTCCTTTGGTGTGCTAGTGTCTAAATTTCGAATTTTTGAAACTCCAATTTTATGTTCAGTCGAGAAAGCAGTCAAAATTGTTAAAGCTGCTTGTATTTTACATAACTTTATAAAAAAGAATGATAATATAATTTTAACTCCAACCGGAAATGGAAATATACCTAACCCCACTACCAATCATATAAATCAAGGGAGACCAAATAACGATGCTACAGAAAATCTAAATTTTTTGAGTAATTACTTCTAAAAACCATACGGGCTGGTGTCATGGCAAAATAATTACACAGTGTAGCACGATTTAAAAAGTACAAAGAAAGGGGGATACTTACTCTTTTCATTAAATTTTTCGCCAATCTTAGTCCAAATTATTTCTGTAATCCGTCTGTTACTATAATCATTGAGCGTGTTATTGTATAATACAGGTTTTTTTTCAACCTCTGCAATAAACTCAACATAAAATTCAATGTTGGGGGCGTTAAATGTGTCGTATTATTGTATGGAGGATTTAATTGGTAGGTACGTTTAAGAGAGTTTAAAACTTCTTCAGTATTGCTGTTGGAGATTTTTAATATTCATAGGGGTCATAGACACAATTTTATTTAATATTATAATTTTTAAGAGCAGTGTTGGCCTAGTGGCTTCAGCGTGCGACTCTCAAACCTGAGATCGTAGGTTTTTCTTTCTATGTGCGCATATTTGCTCGAACGTTGAAGGAAAACATCGTGAGGAAACCGACATGTCTTAGACCCAAAAAAGTCGACGGCGTGTGTCAGGCACTGGAGGCTGATCACCTACTTGCCTATTAGATTTGAAAAATGATCATGAAACAGATTTATTTAGGCCAAGACCTAAAGAGGTTGTAGCGCCACTGATTTATTTTTTGAAGTTATACTTCTTTAGGCGCTTTATGAAAAATTGATGAGAGTGAAATTTTACGATGTGTGCGCACCGTGACACAAAATTAACAGAATGAAGTTAGTGGCACGCACACCGCCTCTGTTCACTGTGTATTTATATTTATAATATTTATCCGCATCTTTGTTTTAAATTGAACATTTAAATCAATACTAATTAATATTAAAAAATAATAATAAATATAAATATAATATTAATAAATTTTTATTTATTTAATTTTTCAAATTTAAACTGAACTTTATTGACTATATAATGACTCCTTTTCCAGTCTTTGATTATTTGCATGCAATCAAAAACTATTTTTATTAACGCTAAATATTTATTATTATTTAATATTTAAAAAAAATAAAGAAAGCCAAAGAAGTATAACTTCTTACGCGCGTACATAAGTACATGCACCATTTTCTTTTTTTATCCCACAGTTCTGACTTCTGTCAGCTTTAATTTACGACAAAAACGATAGAATAATTATATAATAAAAGCATTTATACGTACAGTTTTATCTGCAGGAAAGCGAAATAGACAGTTTGAACCGCAGTTCAAACTGTTATTACAATTGAAGCGTAAAGTAGAAGCACAGATCAGCGCGCGGTCTAGTCTGCACAGATATTTTATCTGCAGATTGGTGCGCAGTTCCAGCTGGGGCCTTAGTCATGATGCCTTAACAGTAGTGTATGTTGAAAGTCAGAAACGAAATTTGTATGAAAACTTTTCGACACGAACTGTCATTTCCATACAAATTTAGTTTTCGACTTTCTACATACACTACTGTTAAGACTTACGGCATCTTGACTAACCCCCCAGAAATGCCATTCGGAACTGCACGTGTGAAGGCCGCTAATATAGTATAATTTTTTGACAGTTCTTATTAATTTCAGATGTTATTTATAAAAAAAACAAACAATACCCTTACGTAAGGCTTTAAGAAATTAATATATTACTATTTATTTTTTGAACTGAAGAACTATAGACACTATTACAATTTTTTAATTCAGATTTTTTATTAATTCTAATAATGTCATTATAATATAGAAGATAATTTTACGATTAACTTTTACTAAAAAAAACATTCTAAACATAATAAACAATTTCTGTTTGATCTGACGTCGATACAATGTTGCATCAGTGATGACTGACGTCTATCAAGCTAAAACTTATAGATGTCAAATGTGACCTATTTAAATTGGATGTTTAAACTTAACTTTAAATACATGCATTCCCCAATCATATAAACATGATTTCCTGTTTCTAAACTAAATTCACTTTTACAGGAAGATAATATTATAAACTCTTTGTCGCGGAATAAAGCTGTTAGGTAAGTTATAAAAATGACTTCTTGAATTTGAAGGTTTTTGTTCTAATATAGAATGTAATATCGTCCAGTTGATAAGTCACTTCTGTAGCCGTAAAATATGAATTAGAATATTTTTCTTACAGCTTTCGTGCTGCAAACGAACTGTCTTTAAGGCGCACCTTTCAGATTTGGCCAGTTTGTTACTATCTTCTTGCCAAATGTTAATCTTCTGTCTAATGATATATGTATATTTTATTGGATGGTTTTGGTTTTCCAGCAACAATTTCAGCTATTCTGCTCCACTTTTATCACCTCTGTTTTGCCTAGATAGCTGTTAATAACTTAATCAGAGGAATAGCAACGATAGTATAGTAGTTTTTTAAAAATTGCTGTTGGAAACATATATTATGGCCTAAATTTAGTGTAATTTATACGAAATATTATAATGATGTAACTAATACTAGTATATAATACAATATTTAAATTTCAGACACCTTACTCCACAACAAATCTAAATTTCAAGAACTCATAAAAAGGACAAAATGTCAGATTCAATTAATTATGAAGACTTAGGCATAAATGGTAAAAAAAAATATATTTGAAGATATAGTAAATTTCATATGTTATGTAACTGTAATTATTTCTTAAATAGCAAATATGGCATAATAATTTCTGAAATTTTACTATAAGTTTAATAGATACAATATAATAAAATAATTGTAAGTCTTAGTAGTATATTTAAATGTTGCAGAAAGCAAATACTCTTTTTTCTAAATTGTATCTTATTATATTTCAGAGGCCTTTGACTTAATTCGTAAATGGAGAGACAACAATGAGAGAAAATTTAGCGAATGGGTTTTGCTCTGGGAAAAAATATTTAAAAATTTAGACAGTAGACCAAATGAAAGTAAGTCCTTATTAAGATTGTCTAAATTTTCCTCAATCTTAAGGTGTTATTGTGTGTGAGTGAAATGTTACTTTTATACTTTAGTGGGCTTTCGTAATAAAAAAATACATTTTGTATCAAAAATCTTGCATACACCAATAATAGCCATTAATAACCTATAATGTAATATTATTTATTGCTACACTGTGTTTTGTTACAGAATATATAGTTGCGGAACAGCTTTTAGTTGCTATGCTTGACCAACACAGTTATAATTTGGCTCTAATGTGGCTGGAACTCCTACTTGAACAGTTCCCTGGAAGTCTTCGGGTTATGAGGTACAAAGCACTCTGCCTCGAAGCTCAAGGACAGTAAGTATTATTAGTATGGATAAGTTATTAGATGGAGCATGCCAATAAATAGCTTGTTATTAACATTTGAAAATCAATGCTTTTAATTTGTTGGTCTTAACCTTGCATATTTTAACAAATGATGCATGTTGCGGCAGCCCAAGGCCTCAAGAATATTCGAAAAATCGGTTTTGTGTCGTCGCAGATACGATACGGCGCAATACGTCCTGGACGAGATCATAAAAGTTGACGAGACCAACGCGCCAGCGCGCAAGCGGCGCGTGGCCTCGCTGAAGGCCCAAGGCCTGCTCCCCGACGCCATAAAAGAGCTCGTCGACTACCTGAAGAGGTTCACGGCGGACATGGAGGCGTGGCAGCAGCTAGGCGAGCTGTATCTGGAGGCGGCCGACTACTCGCGCGCCCTCTTCTGCACCGAGGAGCTGCTTCTTCACCAACCACACAACCATCTGCTGCACCAGCGATCGGCCGACATCCGCTACACCATGGTGAGTCGCCTCGCGCTCGCTCGAGGCCGTGCACCGCCACGCTGACCGGTTTCCTTGCGTTACAGGGAGGAGTCGAAAACATGGAGCTCGCCAAAGCCCACTACTGCCGGACTCTGAAGCTGAACCCGAACAACGCGAGGGCTCTGCTGGGTCTCAATCTGGTGAGTGACAAACCGAGCAGAACGAGACGGGACTCGGCAGCGCAATAAGTGTGGCGTTTCGCAGGTGACGAATAACCTTCTGGGCCACTACAAGTCGTCGGGCAGCGGCAAGCGCAAAGAGGTGTGGAAGCTGTCCCGGTGGGTCCACTCCGAACTCGGCCGTCGGCAAGCCGACGCCCACTCGCTCACCGACCTCATGCTCGCCATTTCCATCGCCGACTGATATGTAACCGACCCATGTCGGTTTGTCTTATGCACTACGTAATGTTTGAGGCAACTTTAATTATTGTATTAACAGATCGACAACTGTACGACAACGTAGACCTTCTATGGACATATTGCATTCATGTGGCAAATATATTTTCAATAAATATATTATATACTCTATTGCAGCATGAATAATAAATTCGGTTTGAAAAATATCCTGCAACAGAATTAAGAAGCTAATTCAGGTTTGGGTTACATTTATACTTGTGTCATCTTTACATTCTTTTCCTTTTCTTTGGGTATGTCTAGGAGTTATTAATTGTTTTAATATTAAGTTTAGATTTCTTTATTATTATTGTTACAAAGTCAATTTTCATATCCCGAATTCCTTTCATAATATTGTATGAGCCAAAGCTATACATTTAGCTCACTCAAGATTCGTCACTTTATAAATGTGGGATTACCTAACTCGTCTTATATGGCCATTGACCAGACGCGAGCAACTATTAGAATAGCATTTATAATAGTCAATACTGTTATATTTTGCGTTATTTTAATCGTGTCCCCTTGATATGTTTATTAGATTTATAAAATAAATAAATGTTTAGCTGAAGTTGTAGTGAGATTTGATCATTAATAGTCTCAGCCACGACAAACAAATAGTTACAATAGATTTTGTTTTTCTCTTTTACTTTAAAAGCGCTGACAAAATGTAAAAAACGTGAACTGGTCATAGATAGAAGTAAAAGTAATAAAAGATTTATACAGCAGTAACAAAATTTATTCCTTGTTACATTCTTCCCGTTTTGCCTTTAAGTAGGAGGCAGTTTTTGCTATTTCTTCAGCTCGTCTCTCTTTTTTTTCTCGTCTCGATATTTCTCCTACAGCAAAGTACTTGTCCCTGAATATTAAAGGTATGAGTAAATAATATTGAGAAGCTACAGAAAAAACAGAAATTTTAGCCTACCTGAAGTTATGGGCAGCCCCGTGTGGGTCGTGGGGCATGTTGGGGATATCGTCGCTAATCTTCTGGTACGTGAGCAGTCGCCTGGCCGTCATCTTGGACAGGACTTGTTCACTATTGCCCACCAACTGCATACAAGGGTGGGAAGGGAGCTGCTCTTCTAAATATTCGTCTCTATTATACCAGATAATATGGTGTTTTATTTTCATCAATTTTTATAGGCTGTGCAATTAAAAAATAGCAATAAACCTCTTAAATGAACACTACTAAGTCCACAATGCTTGCCATGTATGATAAAAGATACCTTACGAGAGGATACCAGCACACAAGTCTTCTCCCAATACTCAAGTGTTGAGCGGCAAAGTTCAAGAGGTCACTGTAGATGTGCGGCAAGCCATATTCAACTTTAGATGGTATGTGGTTGTCTAAATGTTGCGCAGATAAAGTATAGTTGTCTCTCTCAATACCAATCTTCTCTGCTGGCTCCCTGACACCATACGGAGCTTAAAATTAAGATTAAATTATTATTTTACTTGTCTATGTGATGATTGTTATTATTTCTGAAAACTTACGATCAGTTATTAAGGCATCAAACTTTATGTCCTGTCGCCACAACGGTAGTGAAAAATCACTGACCAGCACATCTAAGTACTGAGACCCGATACCATACTGTCTCAGGTTTCCCCTTATACTTTCCTCCTTGTTTCGTACCTGTGAAGATCATATAGATTTAATTAGGGGCTAACATAATACGGTTAAAATTACCACTGTTTATCATTTCCTGACATGTAAGTTTTCATGTACTTTCCACCATTCTTTCTACAAAACAGAAGCATTCATGTTCAATTAGACAAATGAGTTGAAAACTGAAATTATGTAAATAAGAACTTAATATATTATTAAATACATACGTTGTACCTTTTGCCCTACCCTAGTGGGCCGGGTTCGAGCATGTAACATCATGAAATCTATATCAGCTCCCCATATGTAACCACCAAAATGTGCTGCTGAAACCAACAAAGAGCCAGATCCTACGAATGGATCTAAAACCACATCACCGGGTGCTATTTGTGCCTGATTTGCCATTATAATTGACAGTTGAGCATCCATACTTGTATTCCCAATGAATTCACGTTTTTTAAGAGTGTGGACTTTTATAAGATCTCTTTGACCATCTGCTATCTAAATAATAAAAATATGTTATTTAAAATTGTAAATTACTTATATAAAACATAATGTTAATTCACTTTAAATGTAAGAATTCAAAATATGTTTACCCATTTCCCAAAAAATAAGTCACAAGGTTGTTGCGGAACATTATTAGGATCTACTCCATAAAACTCAATATAAGAAAATGTAACATCTGGTTTGTTCAGGTTTACTGCACCTCCTAAAGGTAAATAACTGAAATTCTAAAAATACCAACAATGTTAATATTTACTCTTCTTTTAATGAGTAGGTTCATATAACTAAAAAATATAAGTTATTGAATAATTAATGAGTGTTTTGGAAAGGAATTCTTAGATAAATAAAATTAAATAGGTGAACACACCTCAATCTTTTCAACTTTCTGCTTCATAGTAAAATGCTTGCAGAATGTTTCGACTTCCACTTTGAAGGATTTATTTGGATCACTAACAGCATCTAGAAGTTCACTTGGGCAAATATGTGATTCACTTATTTCCATATTATTATTTGGAACTATCCATTTTCCAGACTTATTTTTTACAGCACTTTTTAAGTTTTCGTGTAACTTAGCTTCGCTCTTAGCCCTGGACCACAATTCTAGACAATTTTTCAATAATACGGATCTTGACGCTATCTGCTTAGCACAAAGTTCGGAAGGGAGTTCCACTATCCAATAGGGGGAGATTAATTGATGGATTTTCAATAAATTTTATTGGTATATTTAGCATAGAAATAATGCTATGCATTTCCTGGAATTTATAAATAAATATTATACGTGTAATTTAATAAAAGTTTACTAAAACTGTTAAAAAGATGAAGAAAAGTTATGTTAGTAAAAAGTATAATGCATACCGCATGCCGAAAGTCCAAATGCTCCTGCGCAAACCATAACAAATATCGCCGAGCCATGACTTTTCTATTAAAATATGTATTTTTGTATTGGAATCATAAGCAAGGTGGAAGACGGTATTAAGTATAAACTATATGTAATAACTAATAAGTAATAACACCGAACCAGTGTTGCCAGATGGTCTCGGCGGACGGCGACGTACCCCTAGACTAATTTGCTTCAGTGTTGCCAGATCAGAGGATTTCCCCCTAGATTTAGGGGTTTCTCAACCGAGTTAGGGGCAGAATTGGGGGATTTTAGGGGAAATTTCAAAAACAAGCCAAATACAGTTTTTTTTTTGCTTTTTATTCACGTTCCTGATTTTGGAACTAATTTAAAGCACAAACACGTAAGAATAGGATCCGTGTGGTTAACCTTACTAATTGTATATTCGTTTGAGCTATCAAAGAACGATGTGATTTAAATTTAATACAAAAGTGATTTATTATCTGAAGAAACCTTTGAGTATTAAGCCAGAAAGGAGTCGCCTTTACGCGCGTCCCCCTCTGTCAAAGGACGAACCCGCTGGACATACGCGTTATATAAAACTGTTTCTCGACCCTTCCGCGCCATTCCGGTATGACGCTTGTTAGTGTAAAGAGCTCCGACAAAAATGACTGGATGCAGTGTATTCGGCTGTAAAAAAAGGTCTGACACATCGAGTGTACAAAAAGACAACGTGACATTTCATCTGTAAGTATTTTCTTAAGTAATATTATCGTATATTATAAGAATACGTGAAAATCAAATAAATATTCATTGCCGAGTGATGCCGAGTCAATGTTGCCAGTTTATTGCAAAGTTCCGCACTACGACGTTTTTTGTGGCTTAATTTTTATATTTGCATAATTTTTTTACTAACAGATGGTACTTACATAGCGATCATATTGTTCAATGACTTAAGTAAATATGCTTTACTATTGATTAGTTGTCCTGTTCGTGGATTCGCTCACAAGTACTTTGAAGGTTTACCCGACACTTCAAATTTTCTTATTATACTAATGTCTTTAATTAATGAAGAAAGGACGTGAAAAATTATAAAAATTTATCCTAATAATGGTTATTTTCCTAAGTTGGTAGTTAGCCACACCAACGCCGGTTTACGTCATTTTAGAGAGGGGACACATACTATTTTTTTATCGATAAATTATAGAACGAATGAACAATATAATGTAATTATGGATACATTTTTTTAGTTTGAAATAAAACAGTTTTATTTTTATTATAGATTTCCAAAAGACCCTATCCGTCGACAACAATGGATAAAAGCTTGTAAAAATCACAGAACATGGCTACCCAAACGTACAAGTAAAGTTTGCTCCGATCATTTTGATACGTCATGTTTCTTGTTGCTGGCTAACAACAAAAGAAATTTAAAGGAATCAGCAACACCTAATTTGAAATTACCAAATGTAAGTTATATCTAGTTTCGATGCAAACATGTAGGGATCTGTAATAACGTATTACGTATTCCATATAGTTTTGAACATCCACTGGAGTAACTAAAAAACGATTAATTGCTTTTCCAACACCAATGTATACCTATTCTTTACTTCAATGTATACCTTAAAATATAACGGTTTTCAGAAATTTATTCTGTCAACATACGAAGCAAATAGATCTTTATGATTGTTATTTTAAACTAACCTTCTACTTGCGAATTCGTCTGGGCGGATTTTGGATTGTAACAATTTTTTGACTATCCCTTGCACATTTAGACCTTACACATTTCCGGGATAAATAATAGTCTGTGTTAGTAGTGCTTGTTCCCTACACCCCCCAAATTTCATCGAAATCGGTCAAGCCGTTAAGCGTGAAAGAGAAACAAACACAAATAAAAATTCATACTTTCACATTTATAATACATACGGATATACACAAATGTGTAAGTGACATATCCGTGTGCAGTCACATAGATACAAAGCTCAACTTACGCCTCACGGACTGTAGTAATGTTATTTTATATGTTATTTTGTAGGCTGACTTCGAAAAACCAACCGATTGCCAACCAGCGAAAAAAATGAGATTTGAGACTGAAACCTCGGCTAGTTCACCACCAACTTATCAACTTTTCGCTCTGAGTTATCAACAAATCATGTTTCGCCTACTACAAGTACTAATGTTTCTTGTTATAAATTGGACCAAGAAACACCAAGAAAACGTAAATTAAGAAGAATAATAGTTCAAAAAAACAAACAAATTAAAAGACTTCAGTCGAAAACACGATATTTAAAAAAGAAAGTTGCTAGTTTAAAAGAATAAATTTTATCGACATTCCTTATCGACATGGTGGTAGCTCTAATTATCTCGGGATTGTTGCGTATGTGTGCTGTACATGTAACGTGTAAAGATACGATTTCTTTAAATGTGTGCGTTGCGGTTACTCTTGTGTAAGCAAATTAGGTTTGTGTGCGTGTGTACAAACATTGTGCAATTTGTTTCTGTAGTAAAATTTTGTCTGTTGAGTGCCTCGTCCCCCGCCGATGTTTTGGCGGAAAAATTAATTAGCATCGTTCGAGTGATGGCGTCTCCTTTCTGGCTTAATACTCAAAGGAAGAAACATTTTTTTTTCGGCCACGCTTCTTTTCAGAAAGACCTATATTTTTTTCAATTGGACTTACGCCGCAGTATATGGATGGTAATCTTAAAATTTGTGATGGTGACATTATAAATTTCACCTACGGTGTTTATTGGCCCTTTATTTTACTGGAGCATTGCATTGTATTTGTCCAATAGTAGAATAAACCCATTTTTACGTAACAACTCCTGTATGTCTCCTTTGAAGCTGCTCAAAGTTGGAGTTATAGTTTGAGTGCAGAAGTGAGGAGCATTATTGAAGAAGTTTGATAAATTCATGTCGTCGAGGTAATTGGACGATTTAGAATGATACTTGAAAATCAATAATGCATCATCAACGAAGCTGTCTTTTGCCGAATCGTAATGTCGTATAGCTCCATCAATTTTTTTAGACTGACAGCTTTTGTGTTGAAATCGAATACTACCAATTTAGTAATAGCTTCCCTCGAAATTAAAATATTACGTAAATCAGACAATTGAGAGAAATGGCGCTGACGAATATAGTTTCTATAACTATGTATATGGGGGCCTCATAGCCTAGCGGTCTTATTAAGTGGCAGCTAGGTGAGGGGTACCTGGTTCGATTCCCGGTTCGAGGGCAAGTCTTAATTTAATTTAAATTTGTTCTCAGCCTTTGGGAGGGTTGTGCGGTACCGGGCGAGTGCTTAAACCGTAGATAGAGGACACTGTCGAATTTCTAAAAGACAAGCACGAATTATAAAAAATCCTATACTTGACGCTGGTTAATGCACAAATCGTGCCAGAGCCATAAATAAAAAAATAAAAAAATGTACTTACATATATACAATTTATATCGTTCACTCTTATAGACCACAAGCCCATGAACAAAAAATACCTGTGAAATGACCCAACGTGAATTACGCTTAGAAGGCTGTTACTATAATATCTGAAAATAGCTCTGAGCACTATGCCGTCATTTCTGAGCGGTACATGTGAGTACGTGAGTGAATGGACTTTCTCAGGTACAATTGGGGAATTTCGACTAATTATTAATGTACGGCTTTGTTATAAGTGTATAGATGATTAAAAATTAATGTCGAAAAAACTAGTGCCGTACTAAAGTGATGGTGCCGGAAGTCGGTGCAAATTTTTAATTCGACGACAGTTGCAGAAGCAATATAGGTCATTTATTACTGTACGGCATTTATGCGATTCCTTTTGGACACATATGCAGATACTTTACCCGTAAACGCCGTACATTTCCAGCGGAGCGGTCGAAAGCCAAGGGTCGGAACCCTACCCCTACACCCATATACCCTAAGGTTATTGTAAAATGTACGGCAACATGTTCAAAATATTATTTAACACGGACAATAATGTTTTATAATTATGCCGTCCAAAAATTATAGTTAATATTTGTGTAAATAAATATTTATCGAAATTTCAGGATTTACATACAGTTTTTTTTGCTTTTTATTCACGTTCCTGATTTTGGAACTAATTTAAAGCACAAACACGTAAGAATAGGATCCGTGTGGTTAACCTTACTAATTGTATATTCGTTTGAGCTATCAAAGAACGATGTGATTTAAATTTAATACAAAAGTGATTTATTATCTGAAGAAACCTTTGAGTATTAAGCCAGAAAGGAGTCGCCTTTACGCGCGTCCCCCTCTGTCAAAGGACGAACCCGCTGGACATACGCGTTATATAAAACTGTTTCTCGACCCTTCCGCGCCATTCCGGTATGACGCTTGTTAGTGTAAAGAGCTCCGACAAAAATGACTGGATGCAGTGTATTCGGCTGTAAAAAAAGGTCTGACACATCGAGTGTACAAAAAGACAACGTGACATTTCATCTGTAAGTATTTTCTTAAGTAATATTATCGTATATTATAAGAATACGTGAAAATCAAATAAATATTCATTGCCGAGTGATGCCGAGTCAATGTTGCCAGTTTATTGCAAAGTTCCGCACTACGACGTTTTTGTGGCTTAATTTTTATATTTGCATAATTTTTTTACTAACAGATGGTACTTACATAGCGATCATATTGTTCAATGACTTAAGT